AGTAAAAAAAAAAAAAAGACTCTCTTCTCTAATTTACCAGAAAAGCAAAAAGAAAGAGCTGTACTGAAGATGTGGCTTAAGTGATAGAGCACCAGCTGTGAAAAAATAATGCTGAGAATTTGAAACTTTTGAATTTAAGTTCCAGTACAGCACAAATAAAATAACAGTCCTGTGTGTAATCTGTGTGTTCACAGTGTCGTACAGCCAACATTGCTGTCAACTCTAGAACATTTTCATTACATTCCAGAAGAAAGCCTGTTTCCATGCTAGCTGCTCCTTGTCCCTTCCCATCTCCCTCCCTCTAACCTAGGCCAACCCATTGATTTGCTGTTCTGGTCATGGGATCTTTTATGACTTGCTTGTTCCAAGTAGAATCAGGTTTTCAAGGTTCATCTCTGATACTGTAGTGTGCATCAGTAATTTATTCTCCTCGTGACTAAGAAATACTCCATTGTGTGAACAGACTATGTTTTGTTACCCACCTGTTTGTGAGTGGACATCAGAGTTATTTCCACCTTGAACGTACTTGGAATAAAGATGCTCTAAAGATGCAGGAACACATTTTCGTGTCATCCTACATCTTTACTTAGGTGTATACCCAAGAGTGATATCGCCGATTTGTAGGGAAACTTGGGTTTCACATTTTGTTGCCTCTTGTTGCCCCCTCTCCAAACACGTTTCCACTTGGTGGTATTCATTTTGTGGAGTGGTGGGTGGGTTGTTGTGAGGGGTTACCCTGTTGGACCTTGGTATGTTTGGTGTGTTGTTACAGAACGTGGAGGTCCTGGCCGGCCGGAGCAGCGCGGAGCAGCGGCCGGCAGGGGCTGGCCTGCAGGAGAAGGAGCTGGCCGAGGAGAACACGCGGCTCCGGCTCCAGATCGCAGAGCTGCAGCGCAGGGCGACTGAGCTACAGGAGCAGCTGGAGGCCCGGGGAGGCCAGGAGATGGAGGCCAAGGATGCACTCCTTAAGTGCAAGGTGAGGACCGGCCTTCTCCCCTGCCTGTGGGCACCCAGGTGAGAGGGAGCCGGTGGAGGGTAGGGTAGGAACATCCAAAATCTATCTGGAGGCGCAGGGTTTTCCTTTCACCCCAACATCAGACACCCCAACCTTTCCCAGGCTCCACCTTCAGGGACTTCCAGACAGCTGTTCCAGCACTGTGGGGCTGGAGGCCCTCAGGACCGTGCTCTTCTTACGCAGTTACAGGGCGTGGCAAAGCCGCTCCGCAATGGTCTCACCTGTGGAGGTGGGAAGCTGTTTGTGCGACAGACACTGACCGTGACCAAAGGACAAATCTGGTGCCCATCAGAATGACTGATGTAATTCTTACAGCACCTTCAGGCTAAGGCTGGAGATTTGCATTTAAAAAAGTAGCAGCCAGGCACTGGGCACCAGTGGCTCACGCATTTAATCAGCAGCTGCTGGAGGAGGCTGAGACCTAAGGATCACGATTTGAAGTCAGCTCAGGCAGGAAAATCTGTGAGACTCTAATCTCCAGTTAACTACCAAGAAGCTGGAAATGAAGCTATGGCTCCAATGGTAGAGCTCTAGCCTTGAGACTAAAAAGCTCAGGGACAGCGCTGAGGCCCTGAGTTCAAGCCCCAGGACTGGCCACATACACACAAAAAAGCAGCCAGACCTAGGGTCACAGATGGAGGACATCTGAGGACTTGGCTGCTGGTCTGTGGGCGTCTTCATGTTCATTTTCTTTCCTTTTTGTTTACTGTTCTGTGGATTTGAAATCATGGTCTTGTGGCTTGCGAGGCAGGTGCTCTACCATTTGAGTCAAGCCCGCAGCCCTTTCTGCTCTTTCCAGTTATTTTCCAGACAGGGTCTTGAATTTTTTTTTTTGTTTTTCAGTACCAACACTCAGTTGGCACTGAGAGTCCCCCGCCCTGGCCTTCCACACAGCTGGGCTGAGTCACAGGCATGAGGCACGGCAGTGGGCCCGTGTGCGTCCACTTGCTTCCACTGAGTCAGCATCATGAGGCCGGGAGCACGAGTGGGTGCCTTCTAACCAGTGTTGCATTGTAGGGTGAAATGCAGCAGCTAGCGGAGGCCCTTGAGAGTGCCAGGAAGGAGGAAGAGGCGTCCACGGAGGCCAGGAGGGCCCTGGAAAGCGAGCTGGAGAAGGCCCAGGTAAGCACGGGCTCAGCTCGCCTCTCTTGCAAGCGGGCGGGTAGAGATGGCCGCCACTGGTTCTCTTCATTCTTTTTTTTGTTTTCCTCGTGTCATTCCTGGACCTTGATCTGAGGGCCTGGGTGTCCTTGAGCTCTTTATTTTTGCCCAAGGTTCGCACTCCACCACTTTCAGCACAGCTGCACTTCAGGCTTTTTGGTGGCCAACTGGGGATTAGCGTCTCATGGACTTTCCTGCCCGGGCTGGCTGTGAACTGTGATCCTCAGATCTCCACCTCCTGAGTAGCTAGGATGACAGGCGTGAGCTGCCAGTGCCCAGCTGGTGAAAACCTTTGTGCTTGAGAGCTGGCCAGGGGAAGATGGCTGAGATCCTGTGCTATGCAGAGCCATATGTCTGCAAAGACAGAAATGTAAGAGAGGACTGAGAGCCCCTCTGAGGGAGCACCATCTCCCCCAGAAGCAGAGCCGCGCTCACCTGTTGGCCCTACTTTGGATGGAGCTCATCTTGACCTTGAAGCCTGTCTCTCCCGTGTTCACTGTCTGCCGGCTGTCGTCTTGGATTTCCTTCTCTTCCTCCTCCTCTTCCTTTTCATTTTTTCTTTGCCAGTCCTGGGGCTTGAACTCAGGGCCTGGACATTGTCCCTGAGCTGCTTGTTCTCAAGGCTACCACTCTACCACCTGAGCCACAGCTCCACTTCTGGATTTTTCTGTGTGGTGCTGAGGAATCCAACCCAGGGCTTGGTGCATGCCAGGCAAGCACTCTACCACTGCACCACCTTCCCAGCCCTGCTCTTCTTTTTGGTGGTGGTTCTGGCCTTGAACTCGAGGCTTCACACACCCAGCCCCTTTGGCTTTCGTGATTTTGCAGATAAGGTCTCACCTTTTGCCCAGGCAGGCCGGGGTCATGATTTTCCTACAGCTTTTGCACAGGGCCGGGGTGCTAGCCCTGAGCTAGTGCTCTGCCACGTTGAGCCACCTCCACTTCCAGCGTTTCTGGTAGTTTCGTGGAGATATGAGTCTCATAGACTTCCTTCCCTGCCTGGGCTGGCTTCACACCATGATTCTCAGATCTCAGCCTCCTGAGTAGCCGGGATTATAGACATGAGCCACGGGCCCCTGGCCTGCCTTGCTTGTAATAGAGAGGGTTTCATGAACTTTTTGCCCAGGCTGGCCTGGAAACTCAATCTTCCCAATCTCCATCTCCTGAGTTTTTACAGGAGAGAGCCACTGCATTCTGTTTTGGCTTCCGGTTTTTTCTTAAATCTGGATCTTTGTCACCAATTCTTGGACTGGCTGTGTGTGGCTGGCAGTTTCGCCGCGTGCTGGTGATGGGTCACGACGCTTACTGTGGGTTACCCAGTCAGCTGCTCAAGGGTGGGGTTTAAATTCGTGAGCTAGTTGAGGTTAGAAACAGGAAAAACATTTCTACTTGAGACAAACAAAAAAATCGCCATCTCTTTGTCATGCATGCACCAAATGTGGGACGCAGACTTTAGAGCCTCGCAGAATGTCTGCTTGGGCTAAGCGAGGATGCTCCTGTACATCCCAGCTCCTCTGCATGCAGAGACGGGAAACCGAGGTTCAAACCTAGCCTGGGCAAAAAAAGTTAGCAAGACCTCACCTTAACACATACCCTGGGTGTGGTGGTGTGTGCCTCTGGCCCCAGCTATGCAAGAAACAGAGGTAGGATGATCCTACCAGGCTGGCCCTGGTCAAAGCAAACAAATACATCCCACAAAAACTCAAGACCCTCTTTTGAAAAATAGCCTAAAGCAAAAGGGCTGGAGGCATAACCCAAGGGATAGGGTGTCTGCCTAGCAGGCCCAAGGTTCTGAGTTCAAACCACCAAAGAAAAAAGTGCTTGTGGAAGTTCAGCTGCTGAGGATGAGTGTGAACTCTGGGTAGAACAGAAGGCCTCGGGGCTCCGTTGGGTGTCCCGGCCACCCAGCGTGTGGCTATACACTCCCAGGAGACCTGACTGCTTCCCCCCTCTGCTCCTACATGAGCTTGTGTGGACCGGATGCAGGAGTGCAATCACCTGACGCTCTGGGGATTGGGGGCCAAACCCTTTGCTCAGGTGTCCTGCATGCCTGACACCCTACAAGTTGGAAACCCAGAGGGAGCTTAGTCCTGGAGCAAGAGGGAAAAGAAATGGGTAACGTTTTCAGGTCAATATTTTATTTTTTTGGTGCTGTTCCTGGGGCTCGAACTTAGAATCTAGGTGCTGTTTCTGAGCTTTTCTTTTTTTGTCCAAGGCTAGTGCTCTTGAACTACAGATCCACTTCCAGGTTTTTGATGGTTGTTAATTGAGTCTCACAGACTTTCCTTCTTGGGCTGGCTTTGAACCATGGTCCTCAGATCTCAGCCTTTTGAGTAGCTAGGATGACAGGTGTGAGCCCACTGGTACCCAACACTCACCAGAATCTTTTTTTGCCCATCCTGGAGCTTGAACTCAGGGCCTGGGCACTGTCTCTGAGCCTCTCTGTACCCAAGGCCAGCGCTCTACCACTTGAGCCACAGTGCCACTTTTGGCTTTTTCTGAGTAGTTTATTGGGAGATAAGAGTCTCACAGACTTTCTGCCCTGGCTGGCTTTGAACTGTGATTCTCAAGTGTCAGCCCTCTGAGTAGCTAGGATTACGGAAGTGAGCCACGGACACGCCCAACTCTCACCAGAATTTTTCATTGCAAGACTTTATACTTGTAGCAATGGATTGCACCTTTGCATATGATGAATATATTCATCTTCATATTGGCTGAAGACCATAGTGAACTTGCATCCGTTTCTCTGTCATTCTTAGCTTCCTGTCCCACATTCCTGGGGTCCAGGATAACCCTGCGGTATGGTGTTCTTGAACAACATCTTTGATTCTGTTCCCAACTGAAGCAGGAGGTGGTGGAGGCTGCTCCTCTGACCGGGGGGTGGAGGGGGTGGGGGGGGTTGAGGAAGGCAGCTGCCTCCTGCCCTGTTGGGCAGGGGACTGATTTTTAGCTATTTTTTGCCACCAGCCGGATCCTGTGTGGGCCATGGTGGCTTTAGTCAGGTCTTTTTGCATGCCGATGGTCTGGTGGCTGTGGGCCGTGGCCGGGCCGTGGCCCCCTGGTTGGCCGAATGGGGACGTGACGGCCTTGCCCTGCTCTGCCCTGCAGAGGGCGCTGAGCCGCACCACGCAGGAGCACAGGCAGCTGTGTGAGAAGCTCCAGGACGAGCCTGAGCAGAAGGAGCAGCTGAGGAAGCTGAGGAGCGAGATGGAGAGCGAGCGGTGGTGCCTGGACAAGACCATTGAGAAGCTGCAGAAGGAGGTGAGGGAGAAGGGGCGGTGGGGAGGGCAGACTGCCCCTCAGTGACTCAACCCTCTCTGGGTCTGGGACTCCTGTCTTCGCACAAATGTGTCAGGGATTCGCAAATACTCAAAGTCCTCTTTAGACTTCGGGAGAATCGCTGCTGCCAAACCAGGCACCAGTGGCTCATGCCTGTGATCCTAGCTACTTGGAGGCTGAGGTGTGGAGGATGGCATTTTGAGGTCAGTGTAAGCAGAGAAGTCCATGAGATTCCACCTCAGTGGAAGAAGTTGAGCATGTGGTCGTCCATGCTTGTTGCCCTGGCTCAGAAGGGAAGCCTCAGCTGAGATCCCATCTAGATGTCTAGACACAGGTCTGGACAGGAAATGAGAACCTAGCTCGAAACAACTGCAGTGGGGCAGAGATGGAGGTGCGGCTCAGCAGTAAAGCACCTGTCCAGCAAGCACCAAATCCTGAGTTCAAGTCCTAGTACCACTAAACACAACAACAAAAACCAGACTTCGGGCACCAGAATTGCTTGTAGATATCTTAGCAGGTTAGCGTGGGAACACACATGGAACCAACTATTCCCTGGGTTGAAACCTGCATCTGTGTGGATCTAGCATGTGGCTGACATGTCCAGGAGTTGGATCGCTTGGGCCCACAAATGCCCATAGGGGACAGAACAAGGCCAGAACAAGGAGCTGAGTGGACACAAGTGACCTCTGTTTCCTGACGCCTGCTCACTTTGCTAGTTTGTATTTTGTGTGTGTGTGTGCGTGTGTGTGCCTGGCCTGGGGTTTGAATTCAGTGCCCGGGCACTGTCTCTGAGCTTTTCTAGCACTCTACCCTTTGAGCCACACCTCTACTCCTGGCTTTCTGCTAGTGAACTGGAGATAGGAGTCTGGGCAGGCTTTAAACGCTGAGCCTCAGATCTCAGCCTCCTGAATAGCTAGGATTACAGGCGTGAGCCATGCACCAGGCTCTCGCTTTTTATCTTTTCTGAATTCTGTCTAGGTGTGTGCATTCAGTTCACTCTGAACATGACTCTAGAAAGTGAGATTTCAGGGCTGGGCAACTGTCCTCTTGGAAACTACCAGGTACTGAGAAGCGACAGATGTGCCCAGCTCTAGAACTGCCCGGTGGCAGCACGGAGCTCAGACCCCAGGACTGTGTGTCCAGGCCTAGAGGATGCGGCTGCCCCTCGGCCATGCGGTTCTCATGCAGAAGCTGCTCAAGCTGAAGGGTGTGCAGGGGACCCAGCCTCAGGGCCCAGACCTTCAGCTGCTCACCCCAGGGAGGGCTCACATTGTATCCCTTCTTGCAGATGGCAGACATTGTTGAAGCGTCCCGCACATCCACCCTGGAGCTCCAGAGCCATCTGGATGAGTATAAGGAAAAGACCCGCAGGGAGCTCACAGACATGCAGAGGCAGCTGAAGGAGAAGACCCTGGAGGCAGAGAAGGCCCGCCTGGCAGCCTCCAACATGCGCGAGGAGGTAATTCATTCCTCCTCCTCCTCCCTCCCTTGTTCAGGCTCCCGAGATACCACTTTAAAATGCTTCTGGGAAGATTTGAGGGTAGACTTTTTGTTGTTGTTGTTGGTCTTGGGACTCAAACTCTGGGCCTGGGCATTGTCCCTGAGCTCGTCAGCTCAAGCATTCTATCACTTCCAGTTTTCTGGTGGCTAATTGGAGATAGAGTTTCATGGATTTTCTTTCCCTGAGATGGCTTTGAACCACAATCCTCAAAGCTCAGCCTTCTGAGTAGGACAACAGACATGAGCCACCAGGACCCAGCTTCATATTTTATTTTTGTGTGGTCTCTTTTCTTTCTCTTTATTATCTTCAGTTGCACAAAGTGTTTTTAATTCCATGTCAACCAATGAGTATGATGCGTCTTGATCCATCCATGTCACCCCTCCATCATTCCCCACCCTTCTCCTCAAGTTGTCTGGTGCATTTTTCACATCTGTACATTGAATGTTATGACTGCCTTTGCCCACCCTTCCTCTCCCCATTCATCCTCCCCATGGCCTTCCCCCCCCCCCCCAGCAACTTCCTGCTGCTCATTTAGTGTGAGTCATTCGTCATAGGAGCTACGCCCAGGGGAATCCTCCATTCGAACCATACACCAGGCAGTTCGTATGTCTTCATAGATCATTTCCTCCTCCATTTCTAGATATCTGTTATGTGGACAAGTGATATTCTAAAAGGAAAAAAACAACAAAAAAAACTCCCAGGTGAAATGGCCGTAATGGTAACTGGTCCTTTTTCTTTTTTAAAAAATTCGTCTAAAATCTTCTGCCTAAAAAGTTCAGCTGTAACTTACAGAAGGGGAAAGGGACCAGCTGTGTTCACGTGACTCATCCACACTCCCATTGTATTTTATTCCTGGCACAAGAATTGCAGGAATGGATTTTGTCATTCGTGGGAATACAGGCTTCCTTATTGGCATAGGAGTGGTGGTATGTCTCCGAATAGTGCGAGTTAAAAGGAGGCCTGGGGGCTGGGGGCAGGGAGGGTCAGTGGTAGAGCTTGTCTAGCATGTGTGAGGTACTGACTTCAACCCCAGCATCACCCCCCCCCCCAAATGTTACTCTACCTTGATTTTGATACTTGAGAGTACTTGAGCTGAGCCCTGGGAGTTCACACCTGTAATCCTAGTTACTCAAGAAGTTGAGATCTGAGGATCAAGGTTTAAAGCCAGCCCAGGCAGATAAAACCAAGACTCTCCTCTGAAATGAACTAACCAGAAGAGGATTTGTGGTTCAAGTGCTCAGGAGTGCCAGCCTTAAGCAAAAAACGCCACAGGATCCCCCTGGGCCTTTTCATAGTGTCCCATGCCAGAGCAAACTGTGCTCCCCAACCGTTGCCTGGACCATCTGTGGGCTACTGGCACTGAAGGGGTTACACAGAGGGGAGAAAAGGCCCTGAGCTTAGTCAAGCCCTACTGTTGACACAAAACAAAATAAAAAAGACTAGGGCTTCCCTTCATCTTGACCTCCAAAGAAGAAAAATCAAAGGGAATGTTTGTGATTGTTTGAGTAGAAAGTCAGGAGCTCCCCACACAGAGTGGATAGTACTTTCTCAAGGTCATACTCCTGCCAGCTGCATGACCTTGAGCAGTTCACTCCAGTTACCTGAGCATCTCTACCTCTTTAAAGTGCAAATCTTAGTCACTTAGTAATTAAATCATATGTGACCCTATATAGGAGAGACTGAGTACAGTCCCAGACAATAACTGGGTCCCTTAATTCTAAAGTTTATTTTTGTTCACATCCACTGCCAAGAGCCCAAAGACTCCACAGGAAAAGGAGTTTTCTTTAAAAAACAAACTCTGCATTTCTTTGATCAAAGGAAGGTGGCTCATGAGTCACTGCTGAAGCTGTAAAAGAACAATGGCTATTTATCCCCAATTCTAAAACGGTGCTGAAAGCTCCTGATAACGGACTCAAAGCAAGGTGCCTGTTCCTTGTCTGTGAAATGCTGGGGACCGGAAGTGTTTTGGACTTGAGTGTTTTTCAGATTTGAAATAGTTGCCTAGACTCCATCAGTCGAGTCTTTCCTTCTCCCTTTTCCTGGTGTACTGGATTCCCAAGTCTGTGCCTTTCCCTACACCCCTTCTGCCATCTCCAGGAGGTAGGACATTGTTGGGGAGCCTGCCCAGATTCTACCTTCCCTTCCCCATCTCAGAAATGAGAATGAGTTCTAGGAGCATTCAGCCTTTGAAAAATCCATGTTTTATTCAAAGCTTATTGGTTTAGTGCCACCTTGTGGATGAAGATGAAAACTACAGGTTATGATGGTGACCAGCTCATTTGACAAAGCAATGGTTGTGGCCTAAAAAGTGCGCGGATATATGGTTCAATTTTGTGCCTGTTTCTGCTTGATTAATTTTGGCTTTCTTTCACCCTGACTTTAAGCCTCCTCTGAAGTGCAGTAATTACTCTCTGGGAAGCACTTTCCTTCAGAGTGAGCCTGTGCAGCGTGTTGGGGGGAGGTGTGTGTCTGTGTTATTAACCCCATGAGACCCCCGCCCAACTCTCTCTCCTAGATGCGCCTCCTGGAGGAAGAGTTGAGGGACCATCAGCGATCTCAGGAGGAAGAGCTCATGAGAAGGCGGCTTCTAGAACAGACACTGAAGGAGCTGGAGTATGAGCTGGAGGCCAAGAGTCACGTCAAAGATGAGCGCAGCCGGCTGGTCAAACAGATGGAGGTCTGGGGTGGGCCACTAGGGGCCTGGGCCTGTTCCTTCAGCTCTGAGGAAGCCCTGGGGTTTTCCTTTTGGTTTAGGGTTAGCCCCTTACATGACATTATAATTTAATGACCTGTAGAGGGTCACGCTTAAGGGAAAAGGTAGTGTTTTTTTGGGTACTGGGGCTTGACTCAGTCTCATGACTTTTTTTTTTTTTTTTTTGTTTAAATCAAGGCTGGCACTCCATCCCTTGAGACACAGCTCTACTTTGGGCTTTTTGCTGCTCAATCTTTTCTGCCTGGGCTGGTTTTGAACTATAATCTTCATAGTTTAAGCTATGCTGTGCCCAGATGCTTGTCCTCAGAGATCCCCCAGCATTCCCAGTGTGGAAAGAGGGAAAGGGGGGAGAGAGGAGAGTGGGAAAGTGAGGGAGGAGAACAAGGGAAATGGAGAGCAAGAGAGGAGGAATGAAAGAGGATGGACAGCTCTGTACAGGAAGGAGGAGAGAGGCAGGGGGAGGGGAGAGTGAGGGGAAAGAGAAGGGAGGGAAAGGTGGTAGGGGAGGGGTGTGGGGAGGAAGGAGAGGGAGCCAGGCAGGGGGAGAGGAAGAGAAAGGAGGTAGATGGGAGAGAGAGGAGAAGAAAGGAATGGGAGAGAGGTGAGGAGGGAGAGGGAAGGATGCAAGGAGGACAGGAACAAGTGAAGGAGAGGTGGAAGGGGAGGAGACAGGGAGATGAAGAGAGGGTTGAAAGTAAGGAGGGGGGAGATGGAGATGTGGAGGGAAGATAAATGGAGGCGACAGGCTAGAGGGAAAAGATGACAAAGTGGAAAGTTGGAGAAAGGAAGAGAAAGAGACAGGATGGAAACAGGGAAAGGAGAGGGGGGAGGGGGAGAGGTGCAGAGGGGGGGAGGAGGAGGAAGGGAGCAAGAGCAGACAGAGGGGAAGATAGGGAGGGGGGAGAAAGGAGGAGGAAGGGAGCAAGAGCAGACAGAGGGGAAGATAGGGAGGGGGGAGGAGGACAGGAGGAATAGGAAGGCAGAAGGGGAGAGGAATGAGGGGAAGAGATGGGGAAAGGGAGGTGAAGAACTGGAGAGGCAAGGGGAGAGAAGGAAGGGAAAAAGTGGGGAGGGGAAGGAAGAGGAAGGGATGAAAGGATGGAGAGAGCTACAGGAAGGAGGAGGAGAAAAGGAGAGGTAAGGGGGGGAAGGAAGAGAAAAGGCAGGTCATACAGAGACTAGCAGGGGAGAGGGAGAAGACGGGGGGGGGCAGAGGTAGAATAGGGGGAATGGGAGGAGACTGAGGGGAGAGGGGAGGATGGAGGGAAGAGTAGGGGAGAGAAGATAGAAGAGAGGGTGAAAGGTGAGAAGGAAGTAGGGGGGAGGTATGAAAGGATGGAGAGAGGGAGAAGAGCAACAGGGAGGACAGAAGGATGAGGGTGAGCAGAGGGAAAGGAGGAAGGAGACAGTGCACAGAGAAGAGAAGGGAATGGCGGAAACAGACTAAAGGGCTGGGAAGGAGACAGGAGAGAAGAGGCTAGAGGGAAGAGTGGAATGAATACGGGGGAGAGGTGGCATCACGGAAGGGGAAGAGGAGAAAAAAGAAGATGAAGGGAGAAGACGGAGTGGGGATGGAAAGAGGAAGGAGACAGTGGGGAAGTTAGGGGGAGGGGAAGGGAATAGAGGAAGCAGGGACTGGAGGGGAAGAGGTAAGAGCAGACGTTGGGGAGGGAGGAGTGGGTGGGAGGAGAGAGGGAGAGTGAGGGAAGATAGGCAAGAGGGAGGTGGGGAAGAGGAGATGAAAGGGAGATTGGGAAAGTGAAGGGAGAAAGGGAGGGGGCAAAAGAGGGATGAGTGCGAATGAGAAGGAAGGTGAGGGAGGGATGAAAGGATGGAGGGAGAGGGGCAGGAAAGGAGATGGAGAGCAAGGAGGAGGGATGTGGAGGGGAGGGGAGGGGCGTAGACCGGAGAAGAGAAGGGAATGGAGGGGACAAATCCACTAAGGGGCTGGGGAGGCGAGAGAGAAGACCCGAGGGAGAGCAGAGTGGAAAGGGAGAGCTGGGTGGTGGGGAGCGGTGTGGGGAGAGGTGGCAGAGGGCGAGGAAGACAGGGACGGTGGCAGAGTGGAAAAGGAGGATAAAGAGAGAAGATGAGTAGGAGGAGAGGGGGGAGCAGAGCAGGCAGGGGAGGAAAGAGGAGGGAAAGCAAGGAGACGGGAGGGAGGGAAGAACAAGCGAAGGACATGGAGGGAAAAAGGGACTAGAAGAGGAGAGATGGAGGGTAAGAGGGAGGGGAGGAGAATGAGAAAATAGAGATGAGAGGAGGAAGGAGAGGGAAAGAGTAGAAGGGAGGGAGAGCAGGAGAGAGCGTAGAAAGGGAGGGGAGCGTGGGGAGGGGTGTGGAGAGCAGGGGGGAGGGAGGGAGGACAGGAGAGAAAAGGAATAGATGGAGAGAAGGTAGGGGACGGGAGAGGAAAGGGAGAGTAGAGGGAGGAGAAAGGGATGAAAGGACAGGGAAAGGGAATAGAAGAGACAAGAATGGGGAAAGAGGAGAGGGACAGAGGGGAGCAGAGGGAAGAGAGTGCAAGGAGAGAGGCCAGACCGGGAGAAGAGAAGGAAAAGGGAAGAGAGGAAGGAGAGATAGTGGCAGGCGGAAAGATAGAGGAAACAGGAGAATAGAGTGATAGGAGGGGAGGAGGAGAGGAGGGGTGGGCTGAGCAATGGCTTCCTTCAGCATGCATGGCTTCCTCCTTCAGCTCTGCCCGTCAGGGCAGCTTCTGCCATGGAAGGTTTCATTAGACTCCCTTCTGCCACTATAAATTGATTTTATTTTTTTTACTTCAGGAGATCATTGTAAGGCAAGCTAAGGTGGGTTCCGTTCACTAGAACTGAACTGTGCTTTAAGGCTCGGGCACAGTGCTCAGATAAAGCCAGAGCCTGCATCTCAAATGTGACTGGGTTCTTTAGAGGCAGATAAAAAGCACTTTAAGAACCGATCTTAGGGCTGGTGGCTGGGGCTCACACTTGTAATCCCAGCTACTTAGGACTGCGGTCAAAGGTCAGCCCAGGCAAAAGTGAGCAAAATCCCCATCTGAACAAATGAGTGAGACACAGTGGCCC